ACAGAGAGAGGGAGGGAGAAAGCGCTGGCACAAGCAGGAGGAGCGTTAGAGGGAGAGGGAGAAGCAGGCTACCCACCCACCATGCAAGGCAGAGTGTGACAGGGGCCTAGATCCCAGGACTCCGGGATCATGACCTGAACCAAAGGCAGGTGCCCAACCGACTGAGCCACTCAGGCATCCCCCAACCCCACCTTTGAATAACCTCTGAAAGGACATCTCTGTTAAGCCAGCGTGGGCTCTCACCACAAATGACAGGGTATTTCACTCAGTTCCTCTTCTCAGTCTGCTTCTCTGGGGCCATCACTGTTGACCCCAAGGCAGCCATTTAATAACCAGTGAGGTCAAAGGTCCATCACACAAGCTGTGTTTTTGGTCAGGAACTCCCTTCCCCATTACCCTGGGAGGCCCACAGTGCCACCACCTTCAACTATTTGTCCCAAAGTCATCTTTCCAGTAAGTATGAGCTTAATTCCCACATTTAAAATTAAAATTCCCCCATGCTTCAGAAATCTCTATTCCTTTCCTTTGCTCTGGTTTTCCCTTTGGCACTTCTCATCACTTCACATTTTTGTACTTATTTTATTGTCACTATCTACCCAAGAGGACGCAAACTCCAAAAATAGGGATTTAGGCTATTTTATTCACTACCACAGTTCCTATGCTCTGAAGAGTGCTTGCACACAGAAGGCATACATATATTTGTTGAAAAAGTGAATAAATATCCAAGAATGACACACACTTGCCTCTAACCTTCAGATCTCTCCCAAATGTTAAACTTAAGACTGCAGCATTGGAACTCCCCTCAAGGGAGAAAAGGGGTGTTCCTTCTAAAGGGAGATAATTGGGCAACTAGATTTCCCACAGAGTCGAACAGGCAGAGATGGAATCTGGAATGATGAACTCTGTCTAGTCCTGGCTCCAAGTAAGATATAAAAGAAGAATAATGAAAATAGACCAAACTCAAGGAAGGCCTTTTTCAGCAGAGTGGGAAACATGGCCGTGAAAGGAAGACTGCTGTAAAGATTAGCTTACGAAATTCCTTCTCACAAAAGAGGGCCACCTCTGCCACTGACCAGCCTAGTGACCTTTGGCTAAATCATATCGCTTTCAGCGGCAGGATGGGATGGATTGAGTGGACTGGGTTTTGGGGAAAGTCTGACTGACTGTAGAACTCATGGCCTGCCCATTCTTTCTCCCTCCAAGTAAGAGATTTTACAGTTCAAACACTGTAACAGGGAAAAGATTGCACAGGGCCCTTGAAGGCTTGCAAATTTATCCCTGGAGAGAACCAGGAGTTGCCGGCAACCAAGAAAGCTAACCTGCAAACTTGGAGAAGAGGGGACCCCTTCCCTGGACTCCAGGATCCTGGATGCCATGGAAGACGTTCACTTACCTTTCCTCTCAAGAGTGTCCCTGACCTAGTAAAAGAGGACAGGTGGGGACACCCTCCCAGAGCCTCCACATAGGAGTCCAGCCTACTCAAGCTATAAGAAGTGCCTTCTTATGCAGATTCCCCCAGAGCCATAGCCCCAGTCAGGAGCCTGTTGCAGCCTCAGCACAAGCTGCTGGGGGATTCCATGACCCCATGAGCCAAGAAAGCTGTTCCTCTTCCAAAGCTCCCACCTTCTGAGGAACCGTGACTAGTACCAGCTTCTGGAGTCCAGCTCTCCATGAAGGTCAAGGGCCCAAGGTTTGGCAGTCTCCAGCCATCTTATTAACACATGAAAGAAAGATCTTCAGTTAAGTACAAAGAGACCTTAGGCTGACATTGTTTTAGTAGGAACTGATTACCAGAGGGTAATGTGAAAAGTAAGCCCAGTCAACTCTGAGCAGGCTGGATAGAGGGACCCTTTCAGTACCTGAACAGTCTTTTCTAGAAAATGCTTTCAATCCTTATAACCAAATCACTACCATACTTTGATGAAGAGAACTAGATTTATATCTAAGGTTTTAAATAAGCGGTTCTCAACTTTCAGGATGCATCAGAATCAAAGAAATGAGCTTTTTTAGAAGACTTAGAGAATATTTGAACTCAGTGGCTTATTGCTAGCAATTCCAATTACCAGTCTAGTGTGGACACCCAGGCACTGATATTTTTCACAAGTACCCTATAAGACTAAATTGGCAAAACTATCTTGGAAAAGACTGGCAATTTCTACTAAAACCAATCATACATATTTGTCCTACTACTCTACAATTCTACTCTTAATACGTAACCAACAGAAATGTGTGTATGTTCCACCAAAAGACATGTAAAAGAAGGCTCATGGGACACGTGGGTGGCTTAGTCATGATCTTGGGGTCTTGGGATCAAGCCCTGTGATGGGCTCCCAGCTCAGCAGGGAGTCTGCTTCTCCCTCTCCCTCTGCCCTTCCCCCGCTTGTGCTTTCTCTCACGTAAATAAAATCTTAAAAAAAAAAAAGTTCATAGCAGTTACAACTCATACCACCAAAAACTAGAAACTAAGTGTCCGTGGATGAGTAAATAGTGGCAAATTCATACAGTAGAATACAATACAGCAATGAGAGTAAATGAACTACAACTACATGCAACATAAAGTAATCTCAGAAACACAATGTTAATTCAAAGAAGCCAGACACTGAAGTCTTTATACAGTACAATGCCATTTATATAAAGTTCAAAGACAGGCACCATTAATCTACAGTGTCAGAAGTCAGGATATTGATTACCTTTGTGGGGGGTGGTGACTGGAGGGTATAGGAAGGAGGGCTTCTGGGATGCCAATGACACGTCTTGATCTGGGTGCTAGTTACTCGGTAAGTTCAGTTGCAAAAAAATTCATTGAGTTATATATTCATAGTTAAATAAAAAGAAATAAGAACTAAAAGCTCCCTGAGTGACTTTGAGTTCATGTTGAGAACCACTGAAATTGACCTCAAGGCAGCTATCACTGTCAAAAAGATAATCAATCATCCATGTATACATTAACTTAATCATTAACATCACTAACATGTATTGAACACTTATCATGTGCCAGAACAATTCTAAATCCTTTCAGCTAAAAATTAATTCAATTCTCCTAACAACTCAATAGCCCAGATATTATTTTTATTATATCTGAGGAAGTTTTGGTATAGACAGGTTAACTAAATTGCTTAAAGCCACACAACCACTAAGGAGTGAAAGGTTTCTAGGTGTTTGGGATAGAGATATAAACAGGACAATGCATGTATTTGCCTTTATGGAGCAAACAGACATATTTAACTTTCTCTCCACTCAACAAAAACGTATCCATTGCCCACCTATTCTCAGTGGCCTGCCAGGAAACAAGCCTGAATTATTTCTTCAGTCTTTTTATTTATTTTTATTTTTAAAAGATTTTCCTTATTTATTTACAGAAAGAGAAACAGCAAGAGAGGGAACACAAGCAGGCGGAATGGGAGGACAGGCTTCCTGCAGAGCAGGGACCCCGATGCAGAACTCGATCCCAGCACCTGGGATCATGACCCAAGCCAAAGGCAGACACTTAACGTCTGAGCCACCCAGATGCCCCTTCTTTTTTTTAAAAAGAAGACTTTATCAGAAAAGCCACAGGTAAAGGGAGTAGGTTTGACTATAAGCAAACAAAAAGCAAAGGCAAGCAGAAACAGTGCAGTTTAGCACAGCACAAGCTGAAAAGCAGTCAGATGTTAAGTATTGTGATTTCTAGTCTAAATGTCTGGAGTTCCTCTTTACCTACAGGAAACCATTTACTGTATATCTCACCTTCTTTGTCCACTATCTCTACCTTCCAGGCAAAATCATTTTGCCCCAGGGTGGGTTTCACCAACAACGACTCCTTAACACACTCAAAGACCCTTATAGAGTTGGCAAGTTCACAGGGCAATTACTGTTGCCAACTACAGCAACTACTAAGTAACTGATGAGGTCAAAGATCCCAAGATCAACTTCCAGGAGTTACACAAGATATAGCCTTCCCTCTTCTACTCTGGTATTTCTCCACCAGTCACCTCCCAGACAAAAAGCAGCAGGGTGTACTTCCTGGGAGTGTTTGGCAATCATATCCACTAGCTAAACTTTTTGGATTTCCTGTAGGAGGTCAAATGCAATAGGGAATAGTCTCAGGACTCAAGAGCCAAACTTGAAACTAACTCTAGGGCCCGGAGGGAGACAAGGTTTTTAGAAGAGCATGAAATTGAAGGAAAAGAAGTTTACTAGATTCCACTTAGCAAATGACTCAGGTGTAGTGGAAAAAGCCAGCGCTGGAAGTAGTCCCTCCATCACTTATCAGCCTTATGAACTTGTCAAGTTTTTTCACCTCATTAATCTGTCTCCTCACCGCTGAATTATAGGGTGAGGGGGTAAACTGAATTAATGAGTTCGGACTATGGCGCTTCAGACAGTCCCAACCACACTCTTCTGGCAGAAAGCCGTCAGCAGCTGCACTTTAGGGAACACACTCGGGCCGATTAAGAATGCTAGTCCAAAACACAATAGCCAGCGAGCCCAGGCACCGGGCAACCCTTCTAGAAACTCGGACTGTGCCCAAGGCCCCATTCTTTGACCGCTGGGGACCGATCTCCAGGTGTGACGAGTTCAATACTATGTCCTCCCTCCCCACCCGGCTGGCCTTACTCTTGCGCTACGTGTGTACCTCCAGCAAAAAAATGGGAACGTGGGGACCTGCACACTATGCTCAGAACCCTCGCCTGCAGCCCAACATGCCCTAACAACAATGACAGGTGCTTACGCGGAGACCACCTTCCCGTTCAGGATTTCCGCCGGTGCCATGGCCTTTATTAGTCCGCTGCCCACGATGGACACCGCCAAAACTGAGGCTCCACTAGCTCCACCCGCGCGCGGGACAACCGAACCCACGTGTTTAGGGACTACCCCGGAGATGCTGCTTCTGCGCCTGCGCTCCTCCCACCCCCGCCCCCCCCCCCCCCCCCCCCCGCCGATGCGCGTGCGCAGTCCGGAAGGACAGAAAGGCCTAATGTAGCGAAAAGCGGTGATCGGGAAGTCCGGTGCTTCGGAAAGATGAAGGAACTCGGTGATGAGTGGCTGGCGGAAATGATTGCTGGTGGAAGAAGCCCTTTCGGATTGCGTCTTCATGTAGGGCGGGGAACTCGCAGAAGAGGGGTCAGTTTCGATCCCAGCCCTTCCTGGGCGGAGCAGCGGGCGGAGCCCGAGGGGCGATCTCGCGGGAGAACGGTTTGGCGCGCGCGGGAGCGAGGCTGGTACGTCTGGGCTGGCTTGGGCTCACCAAGGTGTCGCCCCGGGGGTAGAGGGCGCGGCTTCCCAGGAAAATATCTGGGCAGGCTCCCGCGCGCAGTACGTGGTGGGGCTCAGGGCTGGCCCGCAGGAATGAAACCCGCAGGCCGTGAGGCGGCTTCCCTTCTGGCGTTCCTGCCCCCGATGCTGTCAAACTGGTGTGGGACCCGCACCTCTATTTTGAGTCCCGGGGTCCGGATACCTCCCGTCACGGGTTTAAAATCTCAAGTGACGCCCGCTCGGCCGGGGTCGGAGCCAGCGCTCTGTTTTAGGCCCCTCTGAGCTGAAGCGCAGTGTGGCTCCAAATGCCCGGGGTGACCTCGGGGTGGGTCCGTGCGGGGAGGGACGTCAGCTCCGCGAGCCTAGATTTTGTCAGCTCCCGGCGCAGATCTGGGGTTGGAGAGGACGCGGGCCTTAAAACCCACGAGCCACCAGCCAAGGCACACGCTCCCTCCCCGCAGGCGTCCACTCTGCTCCACTAAACAAGCTGCGTTCTTAATGTGCTCACGGTACAGTCGTGACCCTGGAGAGCTCTGAAGTAAAGTTGTACGCGGCACTTTGTTTCTTTCCCCTGTGTTATTGACAGAATTAATATAAAGTATGCAAGTTTGAGATTTGGTACACATTATGAAATAATTTAAATAAGGTTAGTTAACATCTCCATTCTTTCACATGATTACAATAGCATTGTGTGTGGCCATAACATTTAAGATTTTTTTTTTTTTTTTTAAGCAGTGATTGTCAACCTGGGATGATTTTGTCCTCTAGGGGACATGTGGCCATGTCTGGGGACTTTTGTGGTGGTTATTAATAATAATTTGTGGGTCAGTGTGATTGGCATCTGGTGAGTAGAGGCCAGAGATGCTGTTAAATGTCCTACAATGCATAGCACCCCCCAACCCAGAATTATCTAGTCTAAAATGTTAATTGTGTTGAGGTTGAGAGGCTCTGCTTTTTTTTTTTTTAAATTTATTTATTTATTTGACAGACAGAGATCACAAGTAGGCAGAGAGGCAGGCAGAGAGGAGGGGAAACAGGCTCCCCACTGAGCAGAGAACCCAATGTGGGGCCTGATCTCAGGACTCTAGAATCATGACCTGAGCTGAAGGCAGAGGCTTTAACCCACTGAGCCACCCAGGTACCCCTAAGATCTGCTCTCCTAACTATTGTTATAGTCGCCATGCTGAACATTAGATCCCCAGAATTTATTCATCTTATACCTGGAAGTTTATACCCGTTAACTAACATCCTTACTCCCTGGCAATCACCATTCTATTCTATGTATATGAAGTGGGCTTTTTAAAATTCCACATGTAGGTATCTTACGGTATTTATCTTTCTCTTACTTCATTTAGCATGTGACCTCGAGGTCCATGTTATCCTAAAAGGCAGGATTTCCTTTTTTATAGTTGAATAATCTTGTGGGTGTGTGGGTAAGATCGTGTATCACAGTCTCTATCTATTCTTCCTTCCATGGTACAGGTTGTTTACATATATTGGCTACTGTAAATTGAGGGGGCAGACATCTCTTTGAGAGCGATTTTGTTCAGGTCACTTTGGATTTGACCAAATACAGTTTCTTTTATAAACCATTTTTTGGGGTGCCATGTTTCACTAATGGAAGTGCTCATCTTTTCAACTTTATTCTCTTTTGGGAGGTTGGGGAAACTTTTGGTAGGTGCTTTTGCCTTATTTTAAATTCTGAAGATATTTAGTAGCTTTATGTGTGAAATTAGAGAATCTCTTTTTTGTTTATTAACAGTTTTATTGAGATAATTTATATGCCATAAAATCTAATTTAAATGTACAACTGAATGATTTTTACTATATTTACCGACTTGTACAACCACCACCATAGTAGAATTAAAGAATTTTTGGTGAGTTTTTTTTCTGGTAATTTGCACAAGTGGACATACTAGAAATACAACTTAATCAACTAATCTTCAATAAAACAGGAAAGAATATCCAATGGAAAAAAAGACAGCCTCTTCAACAAATGGTGTTGAGAAATTGGACAGCTACATGCAGAAGATGAAACTGGGCCATTTCCTGACACCACACACAAAAATAGACTCAAAATGGATAAAAGACCTCAATGTGAGACAGGAATCCATCAAAATCCTAGAGGATAACACAGGCAGCAACCTCACTGACCTTGGCTGCTGCAACTTCTTGCTAGACACTTCTCCAAAGGCAAGGGAAACAAAGGCAAAAATGAACTACTGGGACTTCATCAAGATCAAAAGCTTTTGCGCAGCAAAGGAAACAGTCAACAAAACCAAAGACAACAGATAGAATGGGAGAAGATATTTGCAGATGACATATCAGATAAAGGGCTAGTTTCTAAAATCTAGAAAGAACTTACCAAACTCAACACCAAAGAACAAATAATCCAATCAAGAAATGGGCAGAAGAGGGCACCTGGGCGGCTTAGTTGGTTAAGCAACTGCCTTCGGCTCAAGTCATAATCCTGGAGTAGCAAGATCAAGTCCCGCATTGGGCTCCCAGCTCCATGCGGAATCTGCTTCTCCCTTTGACCTTCTCCTCTCTCATGCTCTCTCTCACTCTCTCTCTCTCTCTCAAATAAATAAATAAAATCTTTAAAAGAAAAAAAAAAGAAATGGGCAGAAGACATGAACAGACATTTCTCCAAAGAAGACATCCAAATGACCAATAGACACATGAAAAAATGCTCAACATCACTCATCATCATGGAAATTCAAACCAAAACCACAGTGAGATACCACCTCACACCAGTTAGAATGGCTAATATTAACAAGTCAGGAAATAACAGATGTTGGTGAGGATATGGTGAAAGGGGGACCCTCCTACACAGTTGGTGGGAATGCAAGCTGGTGCAGCCACTCTGGAAAACAATATGGAGGTTCCTCAAAAAGTTGAAAATAGAGCTACCCTATAACCCAGCAATTGCACTCCTGGGTATTTATCCCAAAGATACAAATGTAGTGATCCAAAGGGGCACCTGCACCCCAATGTTTATAGCAGCAATGTCCACAATAGCCAAACTATGGAAAGAGTCTAGATGTCTATGGACAGATGAATGATAAAGAAGATATGGTATATATATACAATGAAGTACTACTCAGCCGTCAAGAAATATGAAATCTTGCCATTTTCATTGAGGTGGTTGAATCTAGAGGGCATTATATGAAGTGAAATAAGTCAATCAGAGAAAGAAAATTACATGCTCTCATTCATATGTGGAATTTAAAACATGAAAAAAAAAGTCAATAGGGGAAGGGAAGAAAAAATAAAGCAAGATGAAATCAGAGGGGCAAACCATAAGAGACTCTTAGTCATGGGAAACAAACTGAGTGTTGCTGGAGGGGAGGGAGTTGGAGGGATGGGGTAACTGGGTAATGGACATTAAGGAGGGCATGTGATATAATGAGCACTTGGTATTATTAAGACTGATGAATAATTGACCTTTACCTCTGAAACCAATAATACATTATATGTTAGTTAACTGAATTGATAGCTTACATTAGCAGAAAAAAAGCACAACTTAATAATGCATGATATAGTGATATAACTTGATACGAGGACCTCTGAACACATACCCTTATATCATGTTTGACCAGAACAAGTAAAATTAAGCGAAAAATTGAATCAAGTGTTCCTGGTAAACTGCAGGTAGTGAAACTTCTGTGGCTTATAGTACCAAATAGATACTGACTATTTCAGCTGTCTTGTTTGCTGAGGAAGGTGGCAAACCCCCAATTTACAGCTGGAGAGATAGACTGAAGGATACCTTGCCCAAACTATATGGCTGTGCCTGGGATAGGCCCCACACCTTCCTTTGTCTCTAAATATATTGCCTTGCCAGCTCAACAGCCTGGTTTTCAATAGTAATAATGTCTTTGTATGACTTGTATAGTTCATTCACTCATTGAGCAAATAGTTACTGAGTGGCTGCTGTGCTAACAACAAAATTTACTGCTCAAGGTGCTAGAGATACCATAGCAAAACAACCAAGTTTCTGCCCCCAGCTAATATTCTGGTAAGTGAAACAATGATCAATTAAATAAACATATAATTTTAGATGTTGAGACATGTCATTTTTTAAAAATAGGCAAGCTAAGAGGATGGGTAATGACAGTAAGAGGCAGGAGAGTACCGTTTGAGAAATGTGATGAGAAAACTGGGGGGCAGATTGAAAACCAGAGTCCAATGTGTTATGGGGAAATCTGCAAAGGCATGCAGCTTTAAAAGACAGGTAAAAAAAAGTATTTTATGGGAAAAGGGGTAATTCAAATATATTGCAGATTGGTCAAATCAGGTAAAGACTGAGAATCTTTTCACCGAGAAGAGAAAGACAGAATATTTTTTTCAGAATATTTTTATTCAAATGATCTTATTGGCAGTTGCTTGAATAAAAAGTATATCCTTTTTGCAGGATCTCCATTTTTTACAAACTTATTGAGGGTAATTTCATAATATCTATCAGAAGCTTAAATGTATTTTTTTCAAGTAGGTTCCACACCCAGCCTGGAGCCCAATGTGGGGATTGAACTCATCACCCTGAGATCAGGACCTAAGCTGAGATCAAGAGTCAGACGCTTAACCAACTGAGCCACCCAGGTACCCCAAATATATGCTTTTTTTGACCTTCTAATTCCACTTTTAGGAATTTATCCTAGAGTGATATTTATGCTTTTAAACAAAGATATATGTACGAAAGTGTTCCTCACAGTGTTGATTTCAATAGTAAAAAAATCTCCATCGAGATGGATACAGTTGTTAAAGAAGGGATAGATAGGTAATAGATGTGTATAGATGTATAGGAGAGTTTTCATACATTGTTAAGTGATAAAAACAGG